AGATGACAAATACTGAATTGCGATTCACCCCAGACTGACAGACTTGAATTCTGACGGACAAAGTCTAAGTTTTGACTGACCCTAGGTAGCACAGGTTAAAATTAGACTCGGCGCAAAACTAAGATTCACTGTATCACTACTTTTTCTGTACATAAGTCACAGAATGATCATACAGGGTGCAGCGCAATACTATCATACAGTCCCAGAACAAGTTTGGGTCAGAAAGAGTCAACAGATGGTGAGATATGGGTCAGGGTAGGGAGGAAGAAGATGGCTATGGCTGTCTTGCAGTCTGACAATTTCAAAATTGAGACCCTACTGACAGACAGACCATCAATTCAGACTCTACTGATCCTGAACTAATCGCTACTCAAGGATTTACACGGAACACACTCACTTGCAGTGTTTGCTCCAGTGGATGCTGAAGTTCTGGCTATGGCTGGTAGAACCCTGATCTCGCCACTTTCATGCAGACACTCCTCCACTGATCTCCACGCCTAGAATCTCCTGAAACTTGTTGGTCTTGCTCAATATCATGTGGCGCTTCAACCCCAACTCTCAGATTCACTGAACCTGGCTCAGTGGCGAGGGGGAACTCTCCTGAAGATATCTCGCCACTGCAGAGCTAAGCCGCTGGTGCTAAATTTAGCCCAGATTAGGGCTAATTCAGCAGGGGATTGATCCTGCGATCAATTCTCCCTCAGCGCTATACTAGGTTTGATGCTGCCACCCAGGTATCACTGGATTAGGGTATAATTCGCCACCCTGAACTCAGTCATCAACTGGGCTCAGAAGGGTGGATGGCGAAATACCCCTGTTCTCGCCAAATCCTGTCAGGCGCACAGACAGGCTCAGCGCGCCTGATCAATCACACACTGAATCTCGGAATTCACCGCTTGTATACTTGCTCCCCTCTCTGTATCTTCACTGAAGATGAAGCTTCAACATGGAGCTTCTCGCCAGAAAGAGCCAGAAGGAGCAGGTGCCTCTGTTGCGCTCAACCCTCAGTGCTCCAAGTCCAATCTCCGCTCCGATACCAACTGTTATGAACTTGGTTGTCTGACAAATTTCTCGCCACTCACACACAAAGTATCTCACACATGCCCATACATGCACAAGACAAAGGGGAGGAGAGACAGAGCCCAAACTGTACATAGACCAAAGATAAGCAGCGGAATAGCAACCATGCACAGATGGGGAGAATACACACAGTGTTTCTCTCTCTCTGACAAACTCCCAACAACCAATCACAAGATGACACTGCGAAGATCACAATCGRAATATAACACTGATGATGAGMCAACTCAACTYAATTAACCCCAGTAATYGTTACAGAGTTTAACCTAGTGTCTCGCCACCTCAGAACCACACACTCCACCCACTACTCCACTCTCAGAGTCCAGCGCTACACTGAAACAGCCTCCCAGAGGCCAGCGCCATCCACCAAGATGAAGATCATGAACTGCGGTGTAGTCCTCAGTGTCGATGAGTCACTCTGACGAAGAAGAAGGCAGCTATGGCTGCCGAGCTGCTACYGTGGCAGCAGCGCCCACATATACCCAACGAAGAGCCTCRGTATAGCCCTGCCKTACGCAGATACCCCCARAGGGTAGGTGCGYTGAGACTGGCCCCAGCTATGGCCGTCTCTCAGAGGCTGGCTATGGMTGCYTCACGTAGCTGAAGTCTCAGGTGCCGCTGTAGACTTYCAGCGCTGCAACACTTCGTGGGCCAGGAAYGCGGTCACGCGAAAATGAATTGCCAAAAGCCCTGAATCGATGGGCCTAACCTATCTATAGACTCGCTAGACCTAGACCGGACTGACTGACCGACCGGTACCGTTGCTGTTTCGGCCTCTCGGCCTCTACCGGACCCGGCTATAGGCTATAGGACCGTCTA